TGACGCACAAATATCTCTAAAAAATTGACTAATTTCAGTGAGTGGATTAAGCACATGTTTGGATAGAGAACCGAACGCAATTGGTAGCAATTGTTCCATAAAAACATGGCAATCATGACTTTTCATACCATGCAACTTCCCAGTATTAGCATCAGCACACCTTGCTAAACTTGAAGAATACCCGTCGGGCATTCTCAAACCTTTTAGCCATCCACAAACCGCTTTAGCTTCTTGGGGGGTCAGACTGAAACAAGCTTTGGGTTTAAATAATTTTCCATTTTGTTGAGGCTTCAATTCCAACTCTTTACGGTTACACCAAATTTCCATGTCTTGTCTAGCCTTCACATTATCTTTTGTTCTGTCTTTAACATCCATCACTGTGTTAAATATGTTATCAAAAAAATTCTTCTCAATATGCATAACATCAAGATTATGGCGCAATAAATTATCTTTCCAATACGGGAGGTCCCAAAATATACTTCTTTTTGTCCAATTATGTGTGACCCCATATCCTTCAATTCTACATGCTTTGCCAGTATCTGTAAACTTTGGAAGTTCACAAACTTGGTTCCATATAGCAACTGGTGACAATCGAGGCGGAGGCAAATCTGTTACCTGTTCGTCCTTTTTGAAATTTGTCTTGTTTTTTCTAAAGGGATGATTTGATGGTAGGAATCTGCGGTGACAGTCAAACCACGAGCTTCCCCCCCCCCCTTTTTTTTCCAATGTAAACGCCTTAGTGCATTCCATGCAATACGGACAACCCAGTCTGACATGCGTACCCCAACCAGACAACATGCCATATGCTGGAAAGTCGTTAATGGTCCACATTAAGGCAGCTCGCATAGAAAAGTTTTGTTTACGGGATATATCATAAGTCCATTCTCCATTATTCCACAACCTATTCAAATCATTAATTAAAGGTTGTAAGTACACATCAACTCCGGTTTTTGGACTCGACGGTCTTGGAATGACGCACGTCAAAAACATGTATGGTTTTGTCATGCACATCTCAGGAGGGAGATTGCAAGGGGTTACAATAACTGGCCAACAAGAATACGCACTTCCAGACGCTTGGACATATGGAGCAAAACCATCAGAGTATAATCCAAGCCTGACATTTCTAGGTTCCGCGGAAAAATCAGGATGTACCTCATCAAAGTGCTTCCATGCATGGTCGTCAGATGGGTGTCGCATATTGCCTGGGCTTGTTTTGTTTGTATGATGCCATGTCATTTGACTTGCACTGTGCATTGAAGAAAACATTCTTTTTAACCTTGATATTATCAGAAGATAAAACATGGACTTTACTGCTACACGTTTTTGGTTACTGTTAATGGCTCTATTGCGAACTTTATATCTTGGACTCTGACAAAACTTACATTCCTCTGATGATCCATCTTGAGTACCAAACTCGTTGTCATAAAACAACATGAAACCATTAATGCAACAATCAATCTTTCTTACTCTTAAACCCAACTTCGACACCAACTTCTTTGCATCATAGAAACTCGCAGGAAAGTTGTCTTTCGTTGCAGTTGAGTCCAACATCATTTTTGCGAAGTGCTCCAAACACTGATAAGGAACATTCCAATTTGACTTGGCGGCCAATAATCTCACACACATTGATAGCTTTGAGTCTGACGACCCCTTAAATAACGGCGTATTCATCTCATTCAGCAATTGATAAAATCTCTGCGCTTCCTCATTCGACAACTCTTCCCCGTCAAAATCTTCTGGTTGATCATAGGTCACGTTAACACCAAAAGCATCATCAACCATGTCACCTATCAGATTAAAGTTTTCCTCAAATTCCATAGGCGGTTGCATAGCCGGTTGACTACTTGAAGCATCTGTGTTGCTAGTCTCTGATACATTACTCGGCAGTGTTTCACCATTATACGTTCAAACCCAATAATTTTCAATGAAACTTTTTCTATGCAAATGACGTGTTATTTCCTCTGGGTCACTAATTATATATCTACATCCACATTTAAGACAAGGACACCTAACTCCTCCTTCACTTCGACAACGTTCCTGAGCAAACGTTCACGTGATAAAACCATTAACTCCGTCTATAAAATTGGGTTTAAGTGCGCGTCTTCCTGGATATAGTCTATCGTACATCCAACTACGATAATACCTATAATATTCCATTTACTGCAAATTTATATAATCAAAACTTATTTAATTAGAAATATTAATTAATCAACTTAATAATAATCCTAAGCATATACTATTAAAGATAAATATATGCTTTTACTTTAACTATTTTTAAAATATAATATTTTTTATTATATACTACTAAATATACTATATATTAATATATAATTTATTAAATATATAATAATTAATAAAAAATATGATAACTGTCAAATATGACACATTTGTCTATGGATTTTTTTCTTAATAAATAATAAATATTAGTATTAATTTTACTTTATTTTCAATTACGCATAAATTTGTCTTCATTTCCATTTATTTACAATTATGTATTGATATTTAAAACGGCTCATTAAAGAAAAAATCATATTCACTAAATATATTTGACTTTAATGATGAATTATGGTAATTACTTATATATTTATGAAAATTAAATTTTTAGTGACCATAAATGTACATATGTTTCAAAAAACATCAAGTGGCTATTATACTTTTTCTAATTCTAACTTATTAGAGTTAACAACATTCTATTAAAATAGTTCATCCAAAAAAAATATATTTTCAGTTAACACAAAAAAATTTAATTTAAACACTTAAAATTTATAAACTCCTAAAAATATTTTTTACTTTCTTTATAAATTAATAAATAAAAAATTATAAGGATAAAATCTTTTTGATTTTTAAATTGCAAATGATTAAAATGATTATTGTTATTATTTTTATTACTCACTAACGTTACTACATAAATTAATAATTATAACTGTTGTATTCATCACAATTTATTTATTTATTTGTGTTTTTCACTAATTACTATATTTATTATTATTTATTTTGTAACATTAATTTACTTATTACTAAATTTTTATTATATACCCCTAAGAATATAATCAACTTAAATTTTAAATGGTTATAAAGATATAAAATATAAAGTAATAACGATATAATCTTTTTTATTTTTAAATTTAAAATAAACTAAATAATAAAAATGATTAATATTATTATTCCTAATAAATTAAATATTTTTTATTCTGTTTTTATAAATTAAATAAAATCAGATTCAACCAAATTCAATTAAAATTACAATATTATAATTTAACCCAAATTCAACCTAAAATTTAACTAAATTCAGAAAATATACTAAATTCAAAAAAAATATTCAAGAAATACCTTTTATCTTCTAACTCCTTCAATCTTCTTGTCCCTTTTTGCAATCTACTTCTATCAATCTTCTTCTATTCAAAGAAAAATTAAAAATAAATTACATCCAATAATACAATAAATAAAAAGTTGTTAACAAAATAGAGACAAAATTGAATTGAATTTACCTTAAAACAAGAATTAATGGAGATTGAAAGGATTTTATATTGGAGAAGAACAAATTTTATGAAGAAGAAAATGGTTATGGAGGGATGAAATGAGGAGAAGAGGGTTGAAGAAGAAGAGTTTTCAATGTATAACACTACTGTCTGTTTTTGGAGCGTGCTTGAAATAAATATATAAAGCACTTAGCGATGTGAAAATCACGCCGCAACGTTGCCACGTGATTTTCACGTCCTTAACAATCCCAACAACTATATTCTCTTTCTTCACGTCCTTCAAAGCCTGAACACGCCAGTATGCAATTATTTGATTTTTCCCTCTTAAATGTTGCGACGTGAATAACACGTCGCAACTTACTTTTTCAAAATTTCAAAATGACAAATATCTGAACGTTAGAGCAATTTAATTATTTTTTATTGTATTTTTAGTAGCGACGTGAATCCCACATCGCAACATTTTTTTATATAAAAAAAGACTGACAACCTTCGGGCTTCTTTATTTTATTAGTAAAATATGTTGCCACGTGATTTTCACATCGCAATTGGCTTTATTTAGCCACATGAAAATCACGTGGCAAAATCACGTGGCTGGAGAGCCTTTTTCTTGTAGTGTAGGGATACCCTATAGTTACTGTATTTAATTCTTGATAAAATAAATGTTTGACTCCACCAGATATCTCTAAGGACTTAGGATTTAGGATGGTTAAAGGTTTTTCCACTAAGGACTTAGGAGAAGATAATTTAAAGAACGGATAATCGAAAGATATAAACTTATTGAAGAGATAAAGATTCAAGGTTGTTATAAGAAAAATTATACACCATACCCTAATATATATATATATATATATATATATATATATATATATATATATATATATATATATATATATATATATATATATATATATATATATATATATATATATATATATATATATATATATATATATATATATATATATATATATATATATATATATATATATATATATTTATTAAATTTCAGTTTATTCAACTACTCTGTTAAATATAATTAATAAAAATATTATAGTAAATAATATTAACTTTTTAAAAAAAATTAACACATTTAATATTTTTTTTAAAACCGTACATTGTACAAATTCTAATAAAATATTTTTTATGACAAGAAGAATAATTCATTCTATTATATGGACTCAAAATCTGATAAAATAAAAATTAAAAGATGAAATACATTCTATTTCATCATTTTTCTACCCATTCAATGGAAGATTAATATATTTGCATTCCATTTGGTTGATCAATCCAAAGATAGTTTTAGAATTTTATATAGAGAAATGAACCATGAAGCTCTATTTTGAGTTTTTGACAAATAAGAATAAACAAGTCACGAGCTTACAATTTATTGCGATAATGATTATACCTTCGACAGAACAAAAATCCACTGACAACTGATTTTGTCAGACTTATCAGCAATTCAATGATCAAAACAAACACAATCTTAAACAATCCTAATAAAATGAAAAAGTGAAACTCAATTCAAATCTTAGATACTAGTGGTTTCGGAGTCAAACCCAAAACCTTACACGCATCAGGATACAAACTCTTCCTTATCTCTGCATACACTTCACCAACCCATTTCTTCTCTGCCAACTGTTCCCCCAGGCGCACAGCAGCCTCTACCGTAGTCTCCGCACTATCATGCGCCGAGTCCACAATCCCCATCTTAACAGCATCTTTCCCCTTGATCTTCACGCCGGCCAACAACACATCACGCAGCACCGCCGGCGATTTGATCTTCTCCTTCATCACGGCAGTAAAATAATCCGGCAACGGCAGCCCGAGATCCACCTCCGGCATGTACAACACGCCTCTGTCACTCCTCATGAAAACATAATCATGACACATCGCGAGCAGGAACCCGGCGGCAGAGGCGTGGCCGTTGATGGCGGCGACGGTCGGGATGGGGAGCGATATCAGCGCGGCGGCGACGGGTTTGAGAGAGTCTACCATGGATTGAAGGCGAAGCGCTGCGGCGGTTTTGGAACCGGCGGCGCGAGCCCATGGCAAGTCGAAGCCGTTGGAGAAGAATTTTCCTTTGCCGGTGGTGATGAGGACGGAACCAGGAGTGTATTGAGAAGTAAGATTTGTTAGGGTTGAGAGAAGGGAGTCGATTAGGGTTGGATTGAGGCGGTTTTGATCGTCGCCGGTGATTGTTAGGATCCATAGATTGTCACGCTTCTCGACACTGCACATTTTTGTTTTTTTGTTTTCCTACGTAGTTTCCAGCAGAGTTTGTTCTCTTTTGTCGTTTATTTATCCTAATACAAATGCATTGCTCCAAAGCATTGATTACGAAATTTAATGTATCATTTTTAGAGCATTCACATTCATCATCTCTTTATGAATTCTTTAAATAGTCTCACTTAATTTTTTTATATTACACGACACTTTCACATTTTCTAAACAATCCAACTACATTTTTTAAATATCCATACAACTCATCAAAAACTTTAAAATGGATCACACCAAATCTTACAATATATTTCACATTATTATTATTATAATTAATATTTATGGCTTGTAACAATTTCCATTAATGATATTACCATTACTTTTGTACACTTGACAAAAAAATCAGTTAGAGAGCGTGGTTAAATAAGAGAACATGCATGAATGTAGGAACGCTACTTTTTCTCAATTATCCAAATATTAAAAACAAATTTATTAAAAACCGTATAACAACGACACTTTGTAAGCCGATAATTATGCTCTTAGGGGATTGTTGTTTATATAAGGCCTCCTATGCTATGAATTTTGTATGGCTGATTTATGTCATTATAATATCTAGTTGGAAGCAATAAAAGAAATTAAGTTTTATGAATATTTGTAGAATGTCTGTCTTTTATGGTTATTTATTGATTTGGGGTGTGTTTGTTTCAAGTTATAAAATTATATTTCTTGAAATTATATTCTCGGGTTTATTGTTTTAGGAATAATATTCTCATTTATGTGTTTGGACAAAATTTAAAATTCCTATGAATGTTTACAAATTTATTTAATTTAAAAATTATAAAAGTAAATATAATGAGTAGAAGTGGGAAGTTATAGGTAGTTAAGTTTATTCCCGTGAGAATTTTTGAATTCTTATCCTTTATGTGTTTGAGGCGAAAGGGTTTGCATGTGGCGACCCTTCGGGGTGGAAAGTATCATAATCCTCAAATTATAACATGTTTTCCTATTGAAGAACATGTTGTATTTGTACTCACACCCTATGCATTTTCGTTTCTCCAACATGAGATTAAGTTATCTATGAACTATGCAGTAATTGGGATTGATAATGGCTCTTATATTGTACAACATCATAACAAAGTTGATGTTGGTCGTATAGTAAGATGAATAGTTGAAGAATAGTCAATTTATTTATCTTGTAAAGAGTTTCATTTTCTAGAATATTATGTAGACACACTATCGATGGCTAATTGTGAATATTGTTTCTCCCATCAAGATGTATTCCTCTCTGATGGAGATGAAAAAGTTTATTAATTATGAAATCTAGTAACATTATCCACTTCCCTTGTGGCTCTTCTTAAAAATTTATGTCTAATTCGATGTTTAGAAGTTAAATTATTGAAAACAAAAGAACAAGCACAAGGTGCTAAAAAAGAGTTAGAAAATATTGTCCTAAAGGTAGAATGCATGCATGAAAGTCAAGAACATTTGATTAATTTGGAACCTAATGTTCCAAATAATGTTGATTTCTATGTTGAAAATCTAACTGTTTAAAAAATCAAAGGCTTGTCGAAAGAATCATGATTAAAATGAGGAGTTAAAGTTGCAAAAAAGACTCAAAATTGTCATGTTCTGGATTATGGTGGAACTAATCACGACTCTCAAAATTGTTCCAATAAAAAGTAAAATGGAAATATTTCCTTCTCGATCTCCTAATAAGTAAGTTTTAATTGATATATACTTAATTGTTTTGGCTTGAGTTTATAATGATCAAACTGTGTAATTAATATATTCTATGACATCACTTGTTATTCAATGAGACAATTTGTTTCAGTAAGAAATTTGTATCAGTATATGCTTTTTATTGTTGGGTAAACTATATCACAAGTGTTCCTGTAGAACAATATTGATAACCCCCCTCTAATGCGGGTTGGAAAAGGTTGCAATGAAGTATGATTTTCTCGTTTTTAGGATTTCTTCCCTTCCTCCGAGGGATGATGGTTCTATTTATAACGTGATCCCATTATGGTATAATTTTCGTGCTTTATGACCATGAACGACGTATCTTCTCTTGTTCCCTGGACAGTCGCACTGATATTTAATGTCGTTAATACGATCATAATTGCTTATTGGGCGATGTCATTTGACAGAATGGGGGAGTCCAAGTTGTTGAAAACTTGGAGGGTTGATGTTTGGCCCGGCCTTGGGCGGCCTTGTGGGTACCTATATAGGTGGCTTGGTCAGACGATTTTGTTGAGACCCTTGAACCATGTCGGGGCGATATCACTTTGGTTAGACTCAAGATATTTTCCAAAAAGTACATATCCCCCCAAGTGTGAGGCATGGAAGGGAGAATCACTTAAGAAAAGTCTCCTTCCAGATTTAGGAAGTACGTAGCCCCCAAGCGCGAGGCGTGGAGGGGAAAAGCGCTTAAGTAAAGTCGCCTTCCATATTTAGGAAGTACATAGCCCCCAAAGCACAAGGCGTTGAGGGGTGAAGTTGTTGCACCCCAAAGTTTACCCTCTTGATTTTAGAATTTTAAAGGCTTATGTTTCATCATATACATTCATGCATTGTGATAGGATCAAGGTATTTTGGTTCCTAAGATCATCTACAAGCTATGAAAGATGGTTGTGTTATCAATCAATGCAAGAAGGGTCTCATGCCCTAAATCTTAAAGTCACTCAAGCTACAAAGGTTTCTCATACCTCAAGACATCTTTATTGTCTCATGGATTCATCAAAAGGTTGGAATTTGCAAAAGTTTTGAAGTAAAACACATTTCCCCTATCCATCTCTTAAGATTAGGGTTTTGGCCAGATGAAGTGTTTGGTGCTTGTGTGGGCCAAATTTATGAAGCAATATCCTCTCAGTGCCATATGAAGCATCTTTGATCAAGAAGTTCTTCATCATGTTCCTTGGAATTAGGGTTTTGAAGCTTGATAATTACCTCTTAACACAAAGGGCTTAAACTAGGGTTTTGGATTTAATCAGGATTTCTCTGAGCTTTTTGACTCAAACTTACTTCCATGCTTCTCTACATATAATGAGCACCTATGATTGAAGAATTGAGCATCAATTTTGGTTGGAAGAGATTCAATTGATTAATTGTGGGTAAAATAGTCATTTGAGAAAAATTCAACCAAAGTCAAAGTTGACCAAGTGGACTTTTGGTCAACACTCAGTTCAATACCCATATTTTCATGTTATATGATCAATGATGGAAGAAAAACAATAGAAATGATGAATTTAGATGTAACTTGTCAAAGAAATTATCTTGATAACTTAGAAAATTTCTAAGTTTTTTTTAAATGTTATAGGATGAACTTGGAAATACCACAATTTTCCCATCCTTGATTCAATATGTGCAAAATTTATATCATTGAAAAGAAGAAAAGAAGACCTATAATTTTAATTTTAAGGTCAAGTTCAAAAGATACAAAGAGAAAGAGTTATGTGTTGGAGAAGTTTTGGTCACTTAATGAAAATGGCATGAGTCAACACATAACATTTCTTGTTTCTGGAAAATCAAAATCAACTCAGTATGAGTCAATAAATAATGGTATGTGTCGACTCATTTCTTGTTTGTGTCGACACATTCGTGTTTTGTGTCGACTCATACACTTTTTGTCTCTATGTATTGTGCCTGGATAACATTATGCATCTATGCATAAGGCCTTGTATCGACTCATACCTTATTATGTAACTAAAATGAGTCGACTCATGCGTGTTTTGTGTCGACTCATTTCTTATTTGTGTCGACACATAGAGATACGTATCGACTCATAACTTGTTTTTTCACCTCTAACATTGTTCAGCTACATGTACAAGTCAGTTCTCAACATATAATTGATAAAAATGAAAAGTAAGCATATGATTTGCTTCAAGGCTATGATATCTACATTTATATTTAAAAAATTAATCACTAATGATGTTTGAAATGAATAACTCAAAGTCAAGAAGACTTACCTTGAAACTGAAATTTGTGCTTTGAGTTTGAGTTGGAGAAGTCAAGTTGCAAGTGGCTGTTTTTGAGTTTGGGAAATGGTGATGTTACATGAGTTTTTCTTGAGTTTGAACAACTTCTATATGATGTATGTAGATTGTTTGGACGGTTTTTTCGGACAGAACTTCCAAGGTGTGAGAGGTTCAAAAGGGCTTGGACTTCAAAGCTCAAAGATGGAGATTTTTGTGGACAGTTCTGGTTTTTAGGGTAAAGGGGGGTTTGAGGATTTTCAACACACAAGAACCTCTCTATTTTTCTGACCTCTTTATCTTGAAAATGCTCCCTCTATTTATAGGCAAAAGGTTTGTGAACAAGAGCTGACTAGGTTTACAACTTATGGAGTTATGGTTAGGTTGGATTGCAAATGTCAAGTTATGTCAAATACTCCATAGTCCCAAGATGAAGTACCAAAGTTACTAGTATATAGGGGTTACTTTCCATGATTTATGGTGGAGTAAAATCATAAGCAAACAAGGTATGGGCTCAAGACAAGTTTTGTACCAATAAGCTTGCTTTTCAAGAATAACAATAGTGCCTTTATGCCATAAATGGAAAGATCTTTTTGACAATGGTTCAAACACTTAGGTAATATCTCAAGATTAGGTGTAAGAATTAAATTATTTTGAGATTTGCAAGTTAGAAGGTCTGCAACATAATATTATACAATATAACATAAGGATTTTGTAATGTGTTCTTCAACACAAAGACTTGCAGTTCAATAATGGATGCTCAACTTCATGCCTTTGAATATCCTAGATCAAGTATGATAAATTTATGCTCTTGGATGTTTTGGAAAGCTTGAAGCATCCTCTATAACTTTCATGTTGGACATTTTGACAAAATCATCTTGGAACTATGTGAAAAAATTCCAAGAAGTTGGGATAAAATCCTGACCAAAATCTGTTAAAAATTTCTCTAAGTGTTAGATGAAAATGTCATGTCTTCATGTGCTTATATCTTCAAATCTAAGCATTTATTGGATATCAACCCTCTAATATAAAGTTGTAGAATTCATCAAG